CCCCCCTTACCTGGATATACAGAAATTTGGGCAGAATCTCGCTAAAACTTAGAGCAGAACTTCTTCCCCTAGGCTCCTTCAGTCTAAGCAGAACGTAGAGAGAAAAATTACAAGAGAAGAGAAATGAGAAGTGTTTTAGGGAGGTTCTGAAATGAAGAATTGAGGGGCTATTTATAGCCTTCAAAAGACATTAAAATATAAGGAAATTAGGTTTAGTGGATGAGTTAGTGGTGGTAGTGGAGGAGTTAGTGGTGATGGTGGATGGTTAGTGGAGTTTAGTGGACACGTCCTTTGGCACTCCCATTTTGACCTTCTAGACGACTGAATTTGGTCACGAGGTCTTCATGAAAGTTGTAGCTTAGGATGTTATCTTTTCAATCGTTTTGGAATCACCGAAAAAGGAGATCTATAACTCCAGATATGACTGTTTTAGTGAACAGGGGTCAGGCTGCCAGCGTGAGTTAAATATGTTGCGGTTTTTAGAATATTCAACATGGTAGATGAAGGAATTTGAAAATGGTTTCTTCATAAAAGTTATAGTATTTTATCTTAGCTTTCCATTGATATAAAGTTTGTATCATTTGGACAACCACAGACCGAGTTATGCCCCAAAAACCGAGGCTTGCCAGTCAGCCCAGCGAAAACGATTTTAACAAAAAGAAAGTTTACAACTATCTAATTAAGCCCAACAATATACATATGTTTCTAAAGCCTATAATTAAGCATAAATGGAGTGTGAATTAGCTACATTTGGAATAAAAGATAACTATCAAATATAATAATAATAACCATTTTGGAAAACTGGGGTGTTACAATTACACCAGAAAGGCCATAGCCAGGCTAACATATTTAAAAAGGTACATTTTTTAATGAGTTGAACGTGGTTTTAAATTGCAATTGTCAAAATTCCAGAGCGTTGTTGACTGTTGTTGTGGAAGCCTCCAAAGTTCAAAACTGCAAATTGCATACTGCAATTTAAAACTATGGAATTGAGTGCTTTTATGTATTCATTGTGTGTTCTAGATTGCAGTAGCCTTGCAAATTTCTGTTGCTGTGTGGCTGATGCTGTTTGCAGTAATGACCTGATGTGGTTGTTCTGGCCACATTACATGATGTCACCCTAGATAGTATATTAAAACTTCTTGACATGATGCGCTCTTGTTTTATTTTTGCTAAATTTACTTGAAGCAATTTTTATGCAGAACACTTGCCCAGTTAGAAGACGAGGTAGCTCCATGTGAGGCTCAGATGGAAAGTTGAAAAACGAACTTGAAAGTAATGGCGTTAAAAGAGAACCAGTACTTGCAACAATGTGCCAACTACAAGGTATGGCGTCTTTTTTATCTTGTGTGGGGGAGGTATGGATGATCCAGAAGTTAGTTCTTTGAGGTGAGATATGTTGGTAATGTATACGATATTGGGTATTGGATGTTGGATTTATCTTTAATGTGCAAGAGATATATCTAGATAAAGAAAAGGAATGGATAAAGAAAAGGAATGGGATTGAGAACAACTAGAAAAAGTAGTGGAAAACTTTAGTCATTGAGGAAAAAGGGAATCATTCCTTATCCACTCAATCTCTTTTACACTATGATGGGTATGATATTATCCCTAAAGTTTGTTATTTGTGTACTTCTGATGAATTTTATTTCTTGCTATGTTTATAGTTTGTTCTTGATATAAGTTATTATTTGTTAGTTGTACTCTGCAGTTTTTTTTAGTACACTTTGTATACAAGATCTGGATAGTTGGCTGACTGTAAAAGATGTTATTGTTATTTTTATAGTAGTCGCCATGCTTTCATCATAGGCTGCAGTCTAGGATATTTATGGTGAATTTTTGGCTTACCCCTGCTACCATTAATAAATAACATTGGATTGTTGTACTCTACTCTGTTATTCTATCAAGTTTTCTTACACTAATAGAATTCTGATCTTTTACATGCTGAATAACATTTGGTGCAGGCGGTGCTAAATCGTGCAGGTTATACCCCAGAGGTTAGCCATAGGGTTTTAGTTGAAATGGCAGAGCATAGAAAGGAGCTGGAGAAGAAAACTAAGCCCATCCTTGATACTCTAAGGAGTTACCAAGATTTGCCTCCGGTATTTCATGTTTTGCTTGCATTCTGTTATATTTCTTGACTGTTGTAAAACTATGTTGTGTTTATTCTTATATTTTTTGTTGGTTGGAATTGTCCAGGATAAAGCTTTGGCTGCCTTAGCAATTGAGGATAAGAAAAGGCAGTATGCTGAAATAATGAGACACTCCAGTATTTTGCCTTGTAGAAGCTAAATTTTCATCAGAATCTCCCTGTATAATATCACCTGCAAATTTTGGAAGAGACGGCACCTACAAATTCAGATATCATTTCCCCACTGCCAAGTTTCTCAACAAAGCATCGTCTCTCCACAATAAATTGCTCCCGCTGATTTTTTAACTTCTTGTTGAGGTCAACAAGTACATCTATGTCCTCTTGCATTTCAATCCTTTGCTTTTCAAGATGTTTTTTATTCTCGTCAGCTTCGGGAGTTGCTACTGTACCCCTGATAAATGAGGGGTTTTGGTACTGTAGCTAATGTGTATATGTACACATCATCTAAATACCATGTCAAATGCCATGTCAACCTTTTAAATAAAAATTATTTTATATTTAAATTTTTACATTATTTATTTTTAAGTTTTTATTAATATTTTTATAATTATACGATCTCCTCTCCCCTCCCTCCGTCTCCCACCTCTCCCTTGCGTCCGTCTCCCACCTCTCCCTCTCCCCTCCGTCTCCCACCTCTCCCTTGCCCCTCCGTCTCCCACTCCCCTCCCCTCCCCTCCGCCTCAACCCCTCTCCCTACTTCTTGAACTCCCTCGCCACAGCCATTTACCACTCCTCCCTCCCCTCCTCCTCCGCCCTCCACTATTCCCTCCTCTCCACCGTCGACCATGACTCCTCCAAGGTTACCTTTGTCTCTGACGACATCCTCGTCCTCCGCGGCACCATCGGCGTCAACCTCGGCTCCTCCGACGCCGACGCTGTCAACCAGAATCTCGTGGAGGAGACCAACCGCATCCTGGCCGAGATCCACTCCGACGCCGACCCCAACGACCCCGACGAGCAAGCCCCCTTGAATCCTAACGTGACCTACAGCCTGGGCCCCAAGATCCGCAATTGGGACGAAGAACGCAAGGCTTGGCTCCTCCAAAACCCCGAATACCCTAATTTCGTGAGAGGTAAACCCCGCATCTTGCTCCTCACTGGTTCCCCTCCCAAGTCCTGTGATAACCCTATTGGAGACCATTACCGTTGAGAGGAAGAAACACGAAGCAAACATTTCAAAAAAAAAGAGAGGAAGAAACACGAAACAAACACTCCGAAAAAATATTAAAAAACGTGAATTTCATTATAATTGACGTGAATATTGAATTGTAAATAATTATAAAATTATAAGTGATTTGGATCACACATCATCGACACGTCATCGACAGTACCGGTACCCTTCTTTTACAGAAGGTACCGTAGAAATTCTCTAAAAATAAAGGTAATTGTTGAATTTAAAAAATAAAAAGTAAAAACTGTAAGGGTTGGCAACAATGCCACCTACGACACCATCCTCCAGAGCATTTTCGTTAGGGAAAACGTTCCCCCAAAGCCATCCTCCAGACCTCTGAAGGAAGGGTTGGCAAAGGGGGCGCACAGTTGCCGGAAATCGCAGGAAGACGAATGTTTTTTTTTTTTTTTTAATTATTATTCATTATTTGTTGACCACTCTTTTTTTATTTTTTTATTTCTTCTGTTGTTTTAATGTCTGAATAGTCTTTTTTTGTTGTTATTTTAATCGAGGATGTTTTCGTGCGTGTTTGGTTTAGATTTAGAAACGTGATTTTTTATTCTCTCTCCATGTTTACAAGGCAATTTACGTGAAAATTACAATTTTTTACTTCCCATAAACGTTAATTTTCACGTCCAAAAGTTAAAGCAAACACGCACTTTGTATTTTTCTGTAGAGGGGGGTGACGAAAGATAGTGAGAGAATATCAAAGAAAAGAAGATTTTCTTTATATGGTTTTTGATGCTTTGTTTACAAATTTGTCTCAGTTTATTTTTTTCTTGATATAGATTGCTAGATTTCTTGCAACTCCTTTGACTTGACTCAAAATAATGTTATTGTTCTTATACTTCTTTTACAAATCTCTCTTTCAAGAAGAGTTTTTTTTTTGTGAAGGGCAGTGATGGATAGTGAGAGCATATCAAAGACAAGAAGATGGTTCTTGATATATGAATGCAAGCATCATATCAAACCTTGTGAATCTTTATGAATATCCCTATAATTCTTGATACACATTTAATCATGTATATAAGATACAAATTTATGGTTTTTGATACTGTTAAAATCTCTGTTTCAGTTTAATTTCTTCTTTGATAAAATTGGTGGATTTTTTGCAACTCCTTGATCTGAAGATAATGCTATGTGTAAGGTACTTCTCTAATTATGAGGTTAGTATCTTTTTTCACTAAGTTGGGCTTTGAACCATAAATTTTTAGTCTGAGTGTCTCAAATATTTTAAGGTGGACGTTGCCTGTGAAAATCGTCAAGTATTGATTTGCTCAAACTTGATGAATCTTTATGAATATACCCATGGTTTTGGCTACAGATTTAATTAGGTATATAACATACAAATTTATGTTTCTTGATGAACTTATGATTTTCATACTTTTGTTACAAATCTCTGTCTTGATTTAATTTCTTCTTGATTCAGATTGTTGGGTTAATTTCAACTCCTCGGACTCAAGAAAATACTATGTACAAGGTATTTCTCTAATTGGGAGGTTAATATCTCTTTCGTTTAAATAGGGCTTTGATCATAAAATTTGTCATAAATCGCTTGAAATGTTTTTTTCCTGTTTCAGGACGGTAACTTACTATTTATTTACAGGCAACATCTGATGTTTTGTTCAATTATGTTTTGCCTTCTAGATAGAGTGATTTGCCCATTTTAGCTTGATTAGTGGTAATCAAATCCATAATCAATACTCGATAAAAAAAAAGGTAATTTTTCTATCACATGTATCTTGTAAATATTCTTGGATTCAATAATTGAGGATTTGAATTTGCCATTGGGCGGGATTTGATGTCATGCATATTCTAAAATAGAATTATTTGATAAAGTGACAATATAATGAGCACATTGTTAGAATAGCTTGTTTAGGAAGTCACTTAATATTTATATATTTTACTGTACTTCTCTGACTGTATTTTTCCTTGGTGTAACAGCATAGGCTTTTAGCCAGTGCAACTTTTGTATTTCCAAAATACTATCTTCATATATAATAGAAATATTCAGATCAGTGTAGTAACAACACTCTTTTGCCTATCTGTCTCAATATTCAAGTTACGTATAATAATAAAGCTATAAAATTGCCTTGATTTTTTTTTAATGGATGTAAGTAGCTATGCACACCACTCCTACTACCCACCACTTGATATATTGTTTCAATGCAAAGATTGTTTTTACTTCATTTAAGTTAAAACATAACTATATTGAAAAAAATATAGATTAAATTCAATCCCATAATTTTCTTAATTTTTTTAATATATTTTATTTTATTAGATATAATTTTTGAATCATACATATTTCTATTTATATATTTTTAAAAATTTTCCATATCTATAGTCAAATATTTTTATGTGTCCTGTATGTACTAATGATGGCTAATCTTTTATTTTAATCTATTTTTTGAAAAAAAAATCTTTAAGACTCTTGTCCGTTACAAAAAAAAAAAACAATTTTTTTTATTGATTATATATAAATTAAAAACTTCATTAGTCATATAATATTTTTAAAAAATTATTTTACACCACTCTTTGTATTTTAAATTATTGCATACATTTTTAATTTATTTAGTGAACTATTTATCTGGTAATATTTTATTTTTTACTTTTTTTAGATATGCATTATTACATAAATATTATTTGTTAAAATATTAATTTCTTAAAACATCAATTTTGGTTAAAATATTACTTCTATTTTAAAAATAAATTTATCTTAATTAAATATTTATAATAAAAATCAGAAGTTAGTCCATATAATGAATTAAGCATGAAGTAAGTTGACTTCTAAAATGAATTAAGATGATTTTTTTATAGTTGAATTTTTTTTTTATTTATAAAAAAATTAGGCCATGGACAGACCCTAACTTATATAATGTGTTTGGATGGAAAATTTAAATGAAGTAATTCATTTATTTGAAGAATTTCAAATTCTTTGAGGTGAAATACCTTGTTTGGATGAGGAATTTATAAGGAATTTGAAATTCAAGCATTTGTGAAATTCCTTGAAATAGTAGAATTTCAAATTCTCCCAAAAGAGTAAGAATTTGAAATTTCTCATATTTTTTTCTTCTTATTTCACTTATATATTTTATCTTATCTCTTATCTCTTCATGTTTTTAATTATTGAATATTCAAAAATATTTTTAAAATTATTAAATATTATCTAATATTAATTTTTAAAATTATTAAATATTTAAAAATTAGCAAATATTTGTTTTTATAAAATTTAATTTAAAAATCTCAACATATAAATATCTTAATTTAAAAATCTCAACATATAAAATATATTTTTAAAATCAATTTTATCATGATAGAATCAAATTATCATATCCAACCTAACAATTTAAAATTTGAGAAATTTGAATTGACTTATCCAAACAAAATATTTTAAGAATGATAGAAATTGAAATCAAAGTAATTCAAATACCAAGAATTTAAAATTCCTTGAATTTGTAAAATTCCTCATCCAAAGGCTGAAGGCATTTTTTTGGTCCCTTATAATCTTTTTTTGTTTCAATGTAGTCTCGCTTTTATTTTTGGTCTCAATTTGGTCCCAAACTAATTAATTAGTTTCAATTTGGTCCCTAATAAATTAATTGGTTTCAATGTGGGACTTCCGTCTAAATTTCTTTAACGGAGTTAATTATTGGCCACGTGGATGCCACCTAGATGCATAGGTGGATGCCACATGGATGAAATTTTTTTTGAAAACACCTGAAACCAGAACGGCCCGTTCTAAAACCAGAACGGGCCGTTCTGGTTGCGCTTTTGGTGTGTTAATTTTGCATCGAAAACGGACCGTTCCAAATGCAAAATTTACACACCAAAAGTACACCAGAATGGTCCGTTCTGAAACCAGAACGGGCCGTTCTGGTTTTAGAACACCGTTCCAAAACTGAGAATAGAAAATTATTTATTAATTTTATTAAAAAATGTAATAATTTTGTAAAATATTTTTTTATGGTAAAAATTTTAAAATTACTTATTTTTATAAAATACAATTACCTTATAAATAAAGTAATAACTTTTTCTTTTTCTCTTTCTATCTGAAGAAATATTTAAGTGTCATTTTATAATTTTTTGTAACTTATTTAAAATTAGAGGAATAAAATGATAAAAATTAATAGGATAAACATAATAAAATTATTAATTTATTTTCTTTTAGTGTCCTCTAAATTTTTACATTCATTTAAAATAAAAATATTTTATATGTTAATTTGAATTAATTTAACGAAGTATTATATGATTTTTAATTTTTTAAAATTTTTTATAAATTTGATCTATACATGAAAAACTTTTTAATTTAACAATTAAATTCTTAAAAATTTGATATAGAACATTAATTATTAAATAGAATAAATCTATCAAGACTTACTCTTGAAGTAAGTAAATTTTTTCTTCATTAAAAATGAAGATAATTTTACCACAAAATAAAAAACAATTAAACAATAAAATAAAATATAAAAAAATATTAATATATTTATTATATTAGATATAACAGCATAATTAAAATATAATTAATAATGTCATTTCATCATTTGCTGTATAGTGTCATTTCATTGACAATATAGTGTCATTTCATCCTTTACTATATAGTGTAAATTTGGTAGTAAGTGGTTCATCCTTTAGTGATACATTGCATTGTCCTTAATAATACATTGTATAGCCTAACTGTTTAGTAATTGAAGTTATCAATTTCCATTGACAATATTACCAAATTCAGTGTTTGAAATGCTTTGTACCTTGGGTTTTCTTCCTTCCATGATTCACAACCGTGAACTATAATCATTGATCGTTTATGTTTATCAGTCTGAAACCAGAACGGCCCATTCTGAAACCAGAACGGGCCGTTCCGGTTGCATTTTTAGTGTGTTAATTTTGCACCTGGAACGGGCCGTTCCGGATGCAAAATTAACACACCAAAAGTGCAACCCCATTCTGGTTTCAGAACGGGCCATTCTGGTTCCAGGTGTTTTCAAAAAATTGGCATCCACCTATACATCCACGTGGCATCCACCTATGCAACAGTTAACTCCGTTAAAGAAATTTGGACGGAAGTCCCACATTGAAACCAATTAATTTATTAGGGACTAAATTGAAATCAATTAATTAGTTTGGGACCAAATTGAGACAAAAAATAAAAGTGGGACTACATTGAAACAAAAAAAAATTATAAGGGACCAAAATAGGTATTTAGCCTATTATTTTCAATAAATTTCATCTGTTAATAACGTTAGAGAAATAAATATTGGATATTGCTTGAAATTTATTAAAATAATAAATCTTAGTAACATGCGTGAGATCATCGAAATTTTTAATTTTTAATGAATTTCATTTATTAATAGCGATAGACAAAATATTTGATATTTCTTGAATTTTATTATAAATAATAAATCTTAGTGAGATGCGAGAGTCCCTGAGATTTGTAATTTTCAACGAATTTTAGTCAGCAAAGAAAATAGTGTTAGACAAAATATTTGATATTGCTTGAATTTTATGGAAAATAATAAATCTTAGTGAGTGGTGGGAGTCACCAAGATTTGTAATTTTCATAAACTTTGAACCAATAATAGTGTTAGACAAAAAATATTAGAGATTGCTTAAAATTTATTAAAAATAATAAATCTTAGTCAGATACAGGAGATCACCGAGATTCGTAATTTTTAATGAATTTAAGCAATAAATAGCAATAGACAAATAATTTGATATTGCTTGAATTTTATTGAAAATAATAAATCTCAGTGAGTTGCGGGAGTCACTGATATTTGTTATTTTCAATAACTTTCATCTATTGCTAGTGTTAGAGAAAAAAATATTGGATACTGCTTGAAATTTATTGAAAATAATAAATCTTAGTGAGATGCGGGAGATCACCGAGATTTGTAATTTTCAACGAATTTTAGCTATTAATAGCGATGGAAAAAATATTTGATATTGCTTGAATTTTATTCAAAATAATAAATCTTAGTGAGATGCGGGAGTTATTGAGATTTGTAATTTTCAATGAGTTTTAGTCAGCAATGAATAGAGTGTTAGACAAAATAATTAATATTGTTTGAATTTTGTAGAAAAGAATAAATCTTAGTGAGTTGTGGGAGTCACCAAGATTTGTAATTTTCATAAAATTTGAGCCAATAATAGTGTTAGACAAAAAGTATTATAGATTGCTAAAAATTTATTGAAAAAAATAAATCTTAGTGAGATGCGGGAGATCATAGAGATTTGTAATTTTCAATGAATTTCAGCTATAAATAGCGATTGACAAAATATTTGATATTGCTTGAATTTTATTGAAAATAATAAATCTCAATTAGATGAGGGAGTCACGAGATTTGTAATTTTCAACATATTTCAGGTAATAAAAATTGTTAAGGTAAAAAATTATTTGAAATTTATTAAACATAATAAATCTTAATGAGTTGTGGGAGTCACTGAGATTTGTTATTTTCAATAAATGTCATCTGTTAATAGTGTTAGAGAAAAAAATATTGGATATTACTTGAAATTTATTGAAAATAATAAATCTTAGTGAAATGCGAGAGATCACCGAGATTTGTAATTTTCAATGAATTTCAGTTATTAATAGCGATAGACAAAATATTTGATATTGCTTGAATTTTATTGGAAATAATAAATCTTAGTGAGATGCGAGAGTCCCTGAGATTTGTAATTTTCAATAAATTTTAGTCAGCAATGAATATAGTGTTAGACAAAATATTTGATAATGCTTGAATTTTATTGAAAATAATAAATCTTAGTGAGTGGTGGGAGTGACCAAGATTTGTAATTTTCATAAACTTTGAGCCAATAATAGTGTTAGACAAAAAATATTAGAGATTGCTTAAAATTTATTGAAAATAATAAATCTTAGAGAGATGCGGGAGATCATAGAGATTCGTAATTTTTAATGAATTTCAGCTATAAATAACGATAGACAAATAATTTGATATTGATTGAATTTTATTGGAAATAATAAATTTCAGTGAGATGCGGGAGTCACTAAGATTTGTAATTTTCAATAACTTTCATCTATTGCTAGTATTAAGGAAAAAAAATATTGGATACTCCTTGAAATTTATTGAAAATAATAAATCTTAGTAAGATGCGGGAGATCACCAAGATTTGTAGTTTTCAACGTATTTCAACTATTATTAGCGATAGACAAAATATTTGATATTGCTTGAATTTTATTGAAAATAATAAACCTTAGTGAGATGCGGGAGTCACTAAGATTTGTAATTTTAAAAGAATTTCAGTCAGCAATGAATAGAGTGTTAGACAAAATAATTAATATTGTTTGAATTTTATTGAGAAGAATAAATCTTAGTGCGTTGTGGGTGTGAAGTCCCACATCGGTTAGGAAGGAGAACGAAGCATGCCATATATATGGGTGTGGATACCTTCCTTGTTTGGACGCGTTTTGGGGTGACATGCATGCCATTGCCAGAAATAAAACCGTGAGGGCTGCGACCAAAGCGGACAATATCCACATGCGGGTTGCTGGGGTGTTACATTTGGTATCAGAGCCGGGACCCGAGCCGGTGTGCCAGCCAATATCCACATGCGGGTTGCTGGGGTGTTACATTTGGTATCAGAGCCGGGACCCGAGCCGATGCACCAGCGATGGTGCTGGACTCCCTTGAGGGGGGTGGATTGTGAAGTCCCACATCGGTTAGGAAGAAGAACGAAGCATGCCATATATATGGGTGTGGATACCTTCCTTGTGTGGACGCGTTTTGGGGTGACATGCGTGTCATTGCCAGAAACAAAACCGTGAGGACTGCGGTCAAAGCGGATAATATCCACATGCGGGTTGCTGGGGTGTTACATAATTTTTATTACTTTTTTCATGATTTTTAATTAATTTTTGGTGGGATGTTGCCCTTCCCATTCAAAAAAAAAATTATATACATTAGTTGTCATGTATAATTATTTACATAACTATTCTACTCGAATAGAATTCTCTTGAGCATATATAGTCTCTAAAAAAATCATATTATATATGATATTTTTAAGGATTAATTTTATAACTAAAGTGTGTGTTGTCACTATAGCAATGACTTATTAAAAGACTCAAGCTATAACAATTATATATAGCCTAACATTTAATTTACAATTTAAATATATTGAGACAAGTTAAAACAAGTTTTGATTTAATGATGTAGTATAATTACCACAAAAAAAAAAAGACTTGTAACTTTTAGGGGAATTTAGACACTAAATTAGATTATGACAATTCAATATGTTATCTAAATTAATGTGTCTAAAATTAACATTGAATTAAGCATGATTGAGTCATATTTACCCTTAATAATGAGCATGTATTTTCAAGATAACGTTGATACATTATCTTCAAATTAATAAGAAAAAAATTTATATATAGGAGAAATATTTTTTTATCATTTACTTTTTTTATATATATATATATATATTTTTATTTGTTAATAGACTCTCGATAA